TAACATAGGTTTACTTCAAGAAGCAAGAAAAATTTCAAATAAACAACTTGACCTTACGTCTAAAGAAGCTAGAAAAATAAGAACAAAAAAACTGCAAAACCAGTAGAAGGGGGGAAATGATAAAGATTAGAGCAGAAATAAATGAAATAGAAACTAAAAAACAAAAAAAAAAAAAAAAAAAAAACCACACTAGAACAGATCAATGAAACTAGGAGTTGGTTCCTTCATAATATCACCAAAATTGATAAAACTTTAGAAAGACATTAAGAAAAGAGAGAAGGGAGAAGAGAGGACTCAAATAATGAGAAATGAAAGATGACAAATAACAACTGACACCACAGAAATACAAAGGCTTATAAGAGGATTTTATAAAATATTTTATGCCAACAAATGGAACAAACTAAAAGAAATGAATAAATTTCTAGAAACATATAAACTATCAAAACTGAATCGGGAAGGGCAGCCCAGGTGGCTCAGTGGTTTAGTGCTGCCTTCAGCCCAGAGCATGATCCTGGAGACCCAGGATCGAGTCCCATGTCGGGCTCCCTGAATGGATCCTGCTTCTCTGTCTGCCTGTGTCTCTGCCTCTCTTTCTCTCTGTGTCTCTCATGAATGAATAAATAAATAAAATCTTAAAAAAAAGACTGAATCAGGAAGAAAAAGAAAATTTGAACAGACTAATTGCTAACAATGAAATTGAATCAGTAATCAAAAAGTTCCCAACAAACAAAAGTCTAGGATCAGATGGCTTCACAAGTAAATTCTACCAAGCATTTAAAAAAGAGTTAATGTCTACTCTTTTCAAACTCTCCCAAAAAATACAATAATAAGGATAAACAAAACTGGAGTAATAAAAATTCCAGATTTCAAGATATACTACAAAGCTATAGTAATCAAAACATTATGGTACTGGCACAAGACACATTAATCAACAGAACAGAATAGAAACCCAGAAAGGAACCCATGAATAATCTTTGATGAAGGAGAACAGAATATCCAATGGGAAAAAAACAGTCTCTTAAAAAAATAGTGTTGGGAAAACCAGGTAGCAATATAAAAAAAAAAAAAAAGAATGAAACTGGACCACTGTCTTAGACCATACATAAAAATAAATTCAAAATGGATTTAGGACCTAAATGTAAGACCTGAAAACCATGAAAATCCTAGAAGGGAGAACAGGTGGTAATTTCGCTAACACTGGCCATGATAACATTTTTCTAGATATGTCTCCCGAGACAAGGGAAATAAAAGCAGAAATAAACTATTGGGACTACATCAAGATAAAAAAAGATTCTGCACAGCAAAAAACACCATCAAAACAAAAGTACATCCTTACTGAATGTGAGAATATATTTGCAAGTTACATATCTGATAAAGGGTTAGAATCCAAAATATATAAAGAACTTATACAACTCAACTCACAAAAACCCAAATAATCCAATTTAAAAATGAGCAGAAGACATGAGCAGACATTTCTCTAAAGAGGACATACAGGTGGCCAACATGAAAAGATGCTCAGCATCACTTACCATCAGGGAAATGCAAATCAAAACCACAATGATATATCATCTCACACCTGTGAGAATGGCTAAAAAAAAAAACACAAGAAACAAGTGTTGGTAAGGATGCAGAAAAAAAGGAACCCTCATACACTGCTGGTAGGAATGCAAACTAGTATGGCCCCTCTGGAAGACAGTGTGGAGGCCCCTCAAAAAGTTAAAAATTGAATTACCAATGATCCAGTAATTCCCCTACCTAAAGAACACAAAAACACTAATTCTAAAAGATAGATGCACCTCTATGTTTATTGCAGCATTGTTTACAATAGTCAAGTTATGAAAACAGCCCAAGGTTCATTGATAGATGAATGGATAAAGAAGTGATATATATACCACATACATGTTGTACGTGGATAAATGTAGAGACTATAATCCTAAGTGAATGAACAACAACATGGATGAATGTAGAGGCTATAATCCTAAGTGAAATAAGTCAGAGAAAGTCAAATACCATATGATTTCACTATGTGTGGAATTCAAGAAACAAAACAAATGAAGAAAGCAAAAAAGAGAAAGAAATAGATTCTTAACTATAGAGAACACCAGAGGTCACCTCTCTGGTGGTCACCAGAGGGCAGGTGGATGGGGGGTAGGGGTGGGGGGGAGATGGGTAAAATAGGTGAAGGGGATTAAGAGTATCATTATCATGATGAGCACTGTGTAATATACAGAATTGTTGAATCACTATATCGTACACCTGAAACTAATATAGCACTGTATAATAACTATAATGGAGTTAAAGCTCACAAAAAGACTGTCCATCAAATATTAATTGTCCAAAATGCAATGTGGTTTCTTACATTGTTGGATTCTTGAGCACAATAAAAGGCCTAGAATGTATCTTCTTTGGGGATTACCCCACTCTTGGTTTTTCCCTCATATGCTTCACTGTCTACTAGATACTTCCACTTTGATGTCTCAAAGGCACCAGAAAAGATAGCTCCTATTCAGTCAAATAATAGCATAGTAATAACATGTATGACGTGCTTGTTTTCAAATCAGACTCAGTGTTGTATTGAGTACTTTATACGGATTATCTCACTTAATTTTTACAACTCTTTGAAGTAGATATTATTCTTATTAGATCTTGTTATTCTCATTTCATATAGAATATAAACTGAGACTTGGAGATATTAAATAATGTTCTCAGGACCATGTGGTCATGCTATCAGGGTCTAACCCAACTGTTTGAGGCAAGACTTGTGTGTAATCATACCTTCCTAAAACAGTTAATTGATTACCTCTAAACTATTTAAAGCCCTGTGCACTATGATTAACTGTGAAATGTGATACAGACACTTAGAAATGCATCCTAACATTCTAATTCTATTCTAAAGGTTTTCACATATAATATCTTTAAAGAAACTCTTTGCACCAGGCTTAAACACTTGAAATGCGGCTAGTCCACAATGAGATATGCTCTAAGTATAAAATATATATATGGAATCATGAAGGTTTGTCATTATAAATAAAATAATTAATAATTTTTAGCATTCATTATACTTTTAAATGATAACATTTCGAATAGATCAGCTTCAATAAAATGTTATTAATTTCAACCATTTCTATTTTTTTTAATGTGGCTACCAGAAAATTTAAAATTACATGCGTAGTTCACACTATAGTTCTATTGGACGGTATTGTTTAGAAGACCAGGTATTGTGCCTTTTTTACCTTACCTCAGTTCCAAAAACATTCTGCTTCTTACAGGAATTCTCTTTGGCAGGTACTGACCCTTAATATTTCAAAATTGAACACGAACAGATAGTTCTCTTTACTGATATCAGACTTCAAGCTGATCTTAGGAATATAAAGAGATGATTTGGTAACTGTTACCACAGGCCTTTTTGATGCTGCAGGCTTGCTAATGGCTTTCTCAATTTTCTAGGAAAAAAAGCTAAGGATCAAGGAGGAATACCACCAAGTGTTCAATTCAATATTACCTAAATAACTAGGTTTCTGCATTGTATAAAGGAGAGCTGGAAAGTAAAAACACACCTCCGGATTGGCTGATATCTAGTGATTTGGGGACAGCCAGGACATTGCAGAAGTAATTTTTTACTTAGTTTTCTTTATCTTTCTAAAGATAATTACAACAAGTGCTCTTGTTTATTGGATAAATTAGGGAGCCACTTACGTTCACTTCTTTTTTGGTTGGCAAAGGAGGGATGGTAGATTACTATTCTGCTATGAGCTTACATACCTGTAATTCTCATATCTTTACCATAGTTTTCATTTGAGAGTAAGGAAATGGTGAAAGTTAAATTTTAAAGTTTTGAATATTTAAATAATTCATATTAAATTTTATTTTGCAATAATTATAGATATGCAGGAAGTTACAAAGACAGCACATAATGTTTCTGTATACCCTCCATCCAGTTTCTCCTAATCTTCCATTACTATTGGCACACTTGTTAAAACTAAGAAAGCAACATTAGTACATTACTATTACCCGAACTTCAGACTTCATTCCAATTTCAACAGTTTTCCCACTAACGTCCTCTTATTCTGTTTCAATATTCAATCCAAGATGCCACATTACATTTAGGACAAGCTGGGATATGACTTGTCCAAGGTAGGGATTTTTAACACAGCTTTACTGAAGTATGATCAGTATACCAAAAAACTACAAGTATTTAATGTGTATAATCTGATAAATTTGGACATATGCATAAAACTACCATCACAATCAAAGTAATAGACATATCCATCACCTCCAAAGTTTCCTCATTCCATTTTTACTGTTGTTGTTGTTGTTATGGTAAGAACATTTAACATGAGATCTATATACTTTTCACAGATTTTTATGCACAATATAGTAGTATTGTTAACTATAGGCACCATGTTGTATAGAAGTTATCTATTTAATTTACTCATCTTTCACAATTGAAATTTTATACTCATTAACAACTCTCCATTTATTCCTTTCTGCAGCCCCTGGCAAACACCATTCTATTCTGCTTCTGTGAGCTTGATTTTTTTAAGAAATGTCATATTGTAGAATTATGCAGTATTTGTCCTTCTGTGATTGGCTAATTTCACTTAGCATGATGTCCTCCAGCTTCATCCACATTATTCCATACAGTAGGATATCCTTTCTTAGAGCTGAATAATATTCCATTATATGTAAATGCCACATCACATTTTATTTTTCCATTTATCCATCAATGAACATAGAGGTTGTTTCCACGTCTTGACTATTGTGAATAAAGCTGTTTTCAAATACACAATCCTGGGGGCACCTGGGTGGCTCAGTTTGTTAAGCATCTGGCTCTTGGTTTTGGCTTAGGTCATGATCTCAGGGTCCTAGGATAGAGCTCCCCACTCAGCAGAGAGTCTGCTTGTCTCTCTCTCTGCCCTCTCCCTGCTCTCTCTCATTCTCTCTATCTCTCTAAAATAAATGGATAAATCTTAAAAAAAAAAAAAAAAAACAATCCCTACCTTGGACAGGTGGGAAGATTCCAGAGAAGCTGGGTCCTCTCATTTCACCCGGTCTCTGAAAGATACTACAGAAAATTAGCTCATTAGATTAGCTAGTCAAGATCTTGGAAAGGATAAAATGTTGATATGATATAGGACAAGTGTGTTTTGAATAGTCATATGACAAAAAGGGACGAGACTGAGTAAAATGGCATATAACTTGACCCCGCAGTGAAGGGGGTTGCCTGAGGAGGGCAGTAGGACCCAGGATGAGTGGGTGGGGCTAGTATTATATTGGTAAAATTCACCCATGTTGTTGGGAATGGTGGTAATTGAATTTTATTTCCATATGGTATTCCATTATAGAATATGCCATTATTTATTCATCTGTTTTTATTTTGATGGACATGGGTTATATATATATATATATATATATATATATTTGGCTTCTTTGAACATTTTTGTGCATGCATTTCTCTTGGACACATATTTATAAATGGATTGCCTAGGCACACATTGTATAACTTTAATTTAGTAGATAAGGTCAAAAGTTTCTCAATGTGATAGTTTCAATTTATGTTGCCATTAGTGGTATGAGACTTCTGGTTGCTTCATAACCTTACAACACTTAGGATTATAGTTCTTTCTAAATTTTGAAAGTTTGGGTAGTAATTAATGGTATCTAATTGTGGATTTAAATATTTGTTAATCTATCAAGCTGAGGTAGAATTTGAATACAATCAAATTCATCTTTCTACAGGTATACAGTTCAATGAGTTTTGACAAATATGTGCAGTAATATAAATACCACCACAATCAAGATATAGAATATATCCATCATTCTCACGTCCTTTGGCAGGAATTCCCTTCCTCCATCCCAATAGCCATGCAGACACTAATCTATTCTGCATCTGTATAGTTTTACCTTTTGGGGAATATTATGCAAATGGCATGTAGCTTTTGGATCTGGCTTCCTTTATTTAGTACAGTATTTCAAAGATTCATCTTGTTGATTATATTGTAGTTCTCTCCTTTTTTTGTTGGAATATGTTACAATTTATTTTTTTTAAGATTTTATTTATTTATTCATGAGAGACAGAGAGAGAGAGAGACAGAGAGAGACAGAGAGAGAGAGAGAGAGGCAGAGACACAGGCAGAAGGAGAAGCAGGCTCCATGCAGGGAGCCCGACGTGGGACTCGATCCCAGGTCTCCAGGATCATGCCCCGGCTGAAGGCGGCGCTAAACCGCTGAGCCACCCAGGCTGCTCCTGTTACAATTTATTTATCCATTTACCATCTCATGGATATGTGAATAGCTTCCAATTTTTTATCATTATTAATAAAACTTCTGTGAGCACTTGTGTCCTAGTCTTTATATGGAACTATGTTTTCATTTTCCTTGGCTAGATACTTAGAATTGACATGGTCAACTTATGTTATCTGTCCTTTGGTATATAAATGACAAAAAAAAAGTGTATCTGGGCACTTAAGTATTTCCTGAGTATTTACTATTGCCAGTAACTGAACTAAGTCTATAACATATATACATTATTTAATACACTTACTTACATATAAGACATCTGTGACCCAGACAAATCCAGAGTTAAAAAAGGTCACACAGACCTTGTCAGAGTTGGCATTCTAATTCAGACTTACTGAACTAACACTCATATTCACAGGTTCTGGTCCATGCAGGAAGTAAATGTTACTGAGATCCTTGCAGATTGATTCACAGTATCAGCCAAAATCAATGATGAACATGAAAGGGCTCCACAAATGGTAAAGCAATATGCAAAATTAGGTGTTACTATGATGTGCTTAATTTGATTAAAGGCCAGAGATAGTGCAACCATTCAATAGACTTAGCTTTGGCCCAGAAGGAGAGCTCTGAGAAAGAAGCACATTCAGTGACTAAGAACATAGATTTTTGTAGTCAGAAAATTTTGATTTTAATCTTGGCTCTGCCTTGTACTAGATGTTTAGTTTTATAAAATTATATAACCTCTTTGGGTTAGACCTTCATTGGATAAAGAATAATAAAACCCACTGGATAAGGTTTCCTTGAAGACTGGAAGAAACAATGTTCAAGAAATAGGAAAAAAAGATCTTAAAATTTATATGGAACCACAAAACACCCCAAATAGCCAAAGCAATCCTGAGGAAAAATGACAAACCCAGAGGTATCTATCACACTACCTGGCTTCAAACTATACTACAAAGCTACAGTAATAAAGACAGTATGGTATTGGCATAAAAATAGACAAATAGATGAATGGAACAGAATAGAGTGCTCAGAATTAAAATACTACTGTATATAGTCATCTAATATTTGACAAGGGAGCCAAGAACATCCAATGGGGGAACAGAAAGTCTCTTCAACAAATGGTGCTGGGAAAACTGGACAAACACATGCACCACAATTAAATTGGACCCCTATCGTAGACCACTCACAAAAATTAACTCCGAATGGATCAAAGACTTAAACATAAGACCAGATATCACAAAACTATGGGAAGATAATACAGGAAAGAAACCCTTTAATTGATGTCGGTAATGATTTTCTGGATATGACATCAAAAACAAAGGCCACTAAAGCAAAACTAGACAAATGAGACTACTTCAAACTAAAAATCTTCTGCACAGTAAAGGAAACCATCAAAAAATTTGAAGAAAAAAGTAAAACATACAGAATGGGAGAACATATTTGCAACTCAAAATAATAATCACTGCAATTTCTGTTCCATTAGATAGTCAAGAAGTCTAGACTTATTTTACCAGTTTCCCTTCCATCTGGAGGGCAGTCACCAGGTAATTCTAAAACTATTTCACAAATGATTCCTGATTTTTCCTTGTCACTTTAGCCAGCCCTTCCTCTCACTCCACGCTGCTGCTCTGGGCTCCTCTCCAGATCACTTCCTGCCACTAGCTATGGCAGGGAATGGTCCCAGGACTCTTTGACCCCAAGCATAATACAGACACTCCTAGTGCTAATTAAAAAGTGATCATTATCACACTTTCTATAGAGCGGCTTCTATTCTAAGCAATTTCTACTTATTCTTCACAAAGCCTAGGAGGATGGTATTGCTATTTACATTGTTTTACAGATGCAAACACTAAAGCAGCAAAAGTTTATGTAACTTTGTCATTCAATTAGAAAATATCTACATCAGGGGATCCCTGGGTGGTGCAGCGGTTTGGCGCCTGCCTTTGGCCCAGGGCGCGATCCTGGAGACCCGGGATCGAATCCCACATCGGGCTTCCAGTGCATGGAGCCTGCTTCTCCCTCTGCCTGTGTCTCTGCCTCTCTCTCTCTCTCTCTCTGTGACTGTCATAAATAAATAAATTTAAAAAAATTAAAAAAAAAAAGAAAATATCTACATCAGAATTCACACCCCGGTATTCTGGCTCAAAGGCTCTGTTCTTCTGTAAGAAGCTAGCATGTCTTCACTCATTCCCTCGTATGCAAGAACTAGGTGGTATATTCAACAAAAATAAGACTGAAGGGTGTTGAAGAACAGAAGAGAGTTAAATTGAGGAAAACATTAAACTGAATTTGGTATTTCACAGTTCCTTGATGACCGCATTATCCTTACCCTATGGCCTCATGATATGTCTCAACGTCTCACCCACATCTACACACACACACACACACACACACACACACACACACACACACACACCACACACCAGAGGGCATTGTGCTATTTCCAGGATCCTCAATCCAGGTCCTACGCCTTCTGTGGAGCCAGATAGACAGTGGCTTTCCTACTGATACTTCAGATTTACACATTCTCGACATCAGAATTATCTGGAAGATTCATCTTTCTTTGCCTCTTTCAGCTTTTAGTGGTTCCAGGTATTCCTTAGCTTGTACTTATGAGACTATTCGTCATTGGATTTAGGACCTACCTGAACGATCCAGGATTAAATGATCATGAGACCCTTAACTTAATTATACCTAGAGACCCTTTTCCCAAAAAAAGGTCACATTTACCAGTTCCCAGGGATTAGGATAAGGACACATCTTTTGGGAGCGGGGGCAGTTACCACTTAACCTAGTACAAAGTGATTATAGGGTCATGGATCTTTTGAACAAGATACTATGGCAAGGGAATAAGTGCTTGTGTGTGCATGTACACACGTACGTGTGTGTGTGTGTGTGTGTGTGTGTGTGTGTGTGTGTGTGTAAAGTAGAAGCAATCTAGGCATCTAATTTCAAGGGTTTTTAACAGAAACCCAGCAAATGTGAGCAAGTCCCCCAGATCACACACAGAACTAGCTAGCGGCAGGATTGGTCCCATGTGTAGAAGAACTAAAAGAAATGTTGTGTCTTCAGCTTGAAAATGCTGACAGTTTTGCAAAATTCAAACTTCTATGGATGAGCTATTTGCTCCTCACACTTATGTCCACTCATTTGATTAAAAGGGAAAGATGGTGGAAATGTTTATTGAGTTTCTTGGGAAATTTAGGATAGACAACCTTACTTCATTCAGCTCATCAATCAAAACAGAAAAAGAGACAGGATAAATTTATTTTTTTTTCCAGCTTGTGGATCTAATCACTGTCAACTCCTTTCAAGTGATCTCTCTACAGGTGAGATGTTAGAACTCAAAACGGAGGTCTGACATCTGAATTCTTCTGAACTGTTCTTCTGGCTCTGAGAAGAGAGATTGCATTCACTGGGAGAAGGGCTCTACGTGAGATGTTTAGGTCTTCATAAAAAAGGATGAAAGAACATTCTCTGTCTTTTGCATATCCGCATTAGATATTTCACAAATATTGAGAGGTTAAGGCGATAGTTTTTGATTTTTTTCTTCAAAGGAAAAAGTATAGGATATGAATAGAGGAAATAGGGAAAAGAAGCATCGGTGCGCCAATTTTTAAAAAATGCCTAATTATATATCTAAACTTGTCGGAAAGGTATACCAGGGTGTTTTTTTTTGGAGGGCCAGAGAGGAATTCAAGATTATTATCAAACTGACCTTGAGAATTTTACTCTACTTATTGCCCCCTCTCTGCGAGATTTTTATTCCAGTCACAAGGGTTAAACGCCATCTTCACCACTAGGTGGCGGCAACGTGCTACA